TGCATTTGGTGTGTCCTGGCTGTTTCTGTTAGTTCATTTTCAGAGCACAAGTAGGGAGAACAGAAAGCTTCAGATACTAATGATGAGTGATGAGAGTTCCTGCGGTAGATTTTGGAAGGATTATCTGAAACAGATGTGCTTAGACTGGGAAGTATTCATTCCTTAGGATTTCACACAGAAAGTGGGAGGTAAAAGATGGGCAAAAATAGAGGAATCCATGCAGTACCTGGTTGGCAGTGACTTTGTGATACGGTAGATGTGGTTTTAGTGTCTTGGATATTAGCAGCAATAGCTGGTATATTACCAGTACTTTTCCTGAACTGGGTGAAATCGTCTTTGGATACTATTGATAAATGGAGGATAGGATCAAGGGAAGTGTAGTGGAATCCTGAAGTTTTAATGTTGCCCATCATTAATGTAATTTCGTGTGCATATACATGAAATGTGTATAATGAATGTAATTTCATGTGTGTACACTTTTCAAGGCTGTAGCCAAGGTAGGACCAGTGAATGCACTATCCTACCTGGAACACTGATTCATTCCATTTAAACAACTTTCAAAAATTATCAGGGTTTTAAATTTGTGCTATGACAGTTTTGATTACAAGAAATTGTGTTTAGAATACAAAGTGTTCAGATTTTTTTAAAAAATCAGTGGCATCTGGTATCCCTGCCCCACGTGGTAGGGTTCCATACTCCACCCTACTGTCAGCCAAAACAGTCCTGGCTTAGAGTGAATCTCTCAAGATCACAATTACATAATGTTTAAGACATCCAGGGGGGAAGCTCTTTATCTACAATGATTATGAGTATGTCAAAGTGCTTACTGTGAGAAAGGGTAACTGAAAACAGACATGACTGACTTCATTCTGAGGCTAAGTCCTCACCAATCAAATTTCTCAGGGTCAGATTTTCCCCACTGCACTGCACCAGACAGAAAATGTCCACTCTCGGGTCCTAAATTGAAGTCATTTTAGCACTAAATGAGAAGATGTGGGCATGTGATCTCATTCAGTAGTAACAGAGCTGGCAGCAGGTTGGGAGGGAAGCTCAAGAACAGCTGTGACTTTTGCTTGGCCAGCACAACACACTCCTACCACATTATAACTTCCTTGCCATGACATTATGAGACATCTCAGAGGCTTCTGAGCCTTTATCTTATTGGTCTGCTGGGACAGAGGGAGTTCTGAGGCAAGCAGAATGGGCCTGGAAGTGAAGTCCAAGAGAGCCCTGTTGGACAGACACACTGCAGCACCATTTTTCACTTTTCCTTCCAGCGGGCCAGCACCCATCTAAGATGAAGTGGGTAAAGTCTACAGAAAACTAGGGTAGAAGCTGGGTTTGAAAGGAGTCCCGTCCCGTCCCCCCCAAGTTCACTTCACCAGTAGCTCTTTTAATAAAGACTCTGTCACTCTTTCAGTAAATGGCTAAAAGCTGGAGTTTCTCCTCACAGATTGCAAGGAATTATTTCTTGCTATTAAAATCTTTAAATTTATATTAAAACAAATATACCAGACATTTAGCTGAATTCTGGTTTAGGATTCCAGTTAATAGAAGGTAGATCTCAATGTGTTAAGTTGCCCAAATTTGGATGAACTGAAGCTGAACTCTCCTGGAAAACGTCTGACTTTAATGTGTCTGTGTCAGGGTAAGAGAGAAAAGAAACATATGAACCTGACAATTAATGAAGAAACTTAATGAGCAAACTCTCATGAGCAGTCTCATCTGAAAATGCCAAAATAGAGCATAAGACTCAAAGTATGTAGCAGTGTCAGACCTGGGTTGTAAAGTAGGAATTCAGATGTAATTTTCAAGAGCAAAAAGGATATCTTTCGCCTTCTGTACTCTGACTTTCTCATTAGCTGAGTTTCTATACAGAAAGGGAGAAAATGACTTTGTGGATAAGGTAAGCAGGAGGTGCAGAAACAATTCTGCTCGGCTCATTTCCACACAACTTGTATGTGTTTGGAAAATCTATATGCCGCATCTCCAGAGACCTGCTCAAAGTGGCAAGTTTTGTTATACCACCCCCATACCTGTGATCTAAACAAGTCTGGATTTAAAGATGCAGTCTGCCACTGTCATGTGTGTTTATGGGCCTCAAATACAGACTCTTGAGCTTGACAACAGGGTTATACAAGTGTCTGGTGATGTCAAAACTTTTTATCTTACACTTCGTCCACAGGATCTACTGTTTCATTTCTTTGGAATTCTTTAGAAATATGGCAGCCCCATATTACTAAAAGCTGGCTGTTGCCTGATGCCCTTTTGTCCTCTTACAGTTTGAGAACTATCCTTTGAGTTGGTTTAATTTAACAAAAATTACATTAAACATGTCCAAGGACAGTAATGTGCCCATACTTTGGGAGTGTTAAAGAAAACAGTGGTTTTTGAGATGATTCTGTGGGGGAAATCAAGCACCCTGGTGTTTTATGTTCATTCCCTAAACTGCATCCTCACAAATACAGCTGGTCTGCTGGTTTACTTGACCTTCATTACAGTTAACTCAGGAGGACGGAATTTGCTTCAGAGATGTGAAGGGCAGTGGGAATGGACCCTGTTTAGTCTCTTAAATACACTTCAGAAATCACTCCCCTCCCCTTCAGTGAAAAGTTGTCCTTTAAACATATGCCAAGTGGACTGTAGGAAGAAATGCTTAAGTCGGTGAGCTGGTTTCTGAGGCCATATATTATGTTTGCCTGCTTTGTCCTAGATTGCTGCATAGAATAACACATGTACATCATTACAAGCAATAATGATTTGCCAGAAGGCATCATATAGATGTACAGAAGTTAGTTTATCGGTCATCATATAATCCAAGCTGTGACAGCAGTATCAGAGGGCTTTGTTGTGAAAACAGAAAACGCAATCAATCAAAAAATCTGAAACAGGAACATGGTGGGCAGCGTGGTGATGAATTCCGTACAGCAAAAATTCTCTCTTTGTGCGAGCAGTTGATTAAAGAGAAACAATGTTGAAGTACCATTCAGTGTGTTCAGTTTTCATTGTTCAGCTGTTTATGAGAAAAACCTGTGAAGGTCCATATGAAAGTCTCACTAAAATGGCAAGAATTAATTAACCCTTTTCTTTGGAAGCTGCTTTACTTTTGATAAATGTGGATGGTAAATGCAACTGCTTATGGCATTTTCATAATTCATTTAGTGTCAGAAAAGACTTCCAGACTTCATTCTTCATTCCAGTTCACGAATGCCTTCCCTACTATTTATTCCATCTACTTGGCCTCCTTTGCTGAAGCTCTCCATCCGATATGGCCCGAGAAGACTTTATAGTCTGGATTACAGCCTAGCTGCTCCAGTTTTTCAAGAATACTGTATTTGTAATTTACAGTGCCATCTGCTTTCAACTTATAGTGTCTTATTTTTAACTATTTATTTGTTATACCTGTTTTAATTGTTATCGTGGAATTGCTGCTGTAATCTACCTTGAGCCCACTTGCATGGAGGGTGGAATATAAGATAGACAAATAAATAAAATGGTTTTCCTCTATGAACAATGTCTACCCCTGGCAGAATGTATGACAGAGAAATATGCAGTGGTGCATAGCAGTTCGAACATGTTCCCTTTAATCACCAACAAGCATCATAGTAATGTTTTAAAAATTGAAATAAGAGAAGTTAACTGTTCACTTATGATCTTTTGTTTAACAATGAGGTGGTCATGAATAAAGTATGAATAAAAGATTAAAATGTTGACCACAAGGCAGTGATGTCTGTGTTTAGATGTGAGAAAGGCAACTCAAAGTCAAGTGCTAACTGAACATGAGCATTTTAGCCAGGGGTCATTTTGTAGAAAAAGAGCTTTGGGAACTCATTAGCATAACTCATTAGCATATGCCACACCCCCTGACATCACCGGAAGTGTGTCATAAGGCCACACACCCCGCCCCCAACGGTACCTGGCCCCAGGCAGGCAGGGGTGGGGAGAGGCAGGGAGAAAGCAACTTACCCTCTCTCTTCTCCTGCCTCCTCCTGGCTGAATGAGGGCTGGAAGCGGGGCAGCCGGAAGCAGGGGGCGGGGCTTCGTCATGTGGCCCGCCCCCGTACCTCACCCGGGGGAACTGCGATCCCCCGCGATCCCCCCCGAAATGACCTCTGATTTTAGCCTCTGTCGACCTGGGGGCCAGACACATGATTTGGCTCAAAGGCAACATGCTCCAACCAGTGTTCTGTAGAAGCTGCAGTAGTTAGCAAAGTTTTCGACATGTATTACTATTAGAATAGATGAGAGCAGCACCTACAGCAGATATTGTGGACTGAATTCTAGGTTGTATTCTAACACAGCAGTGGATTCAAACTGAGCACAAAAGGTTCTGTGCTTCAGTGTGGTATAGGGAAGTGCATATCGTACCAAATGCTCATTGCATACCTTTCCTGTCTTACATCCTAGAATCTGATGGAAAATTAGAACATATGGTTAGCAAGAATGGTTGAAATTACCACAACATTGTTCTCCAGTTATCAGTACTCTGGATAACAATAACATTTAATAATATTTTCTTCATGTCTTTTTGACTGTACAGGGCTAATTAATTAATGTCTTTGGTATTTTTGTTCTTTAAACACCACATACTTTTGCTCAGTGTTTTTACATACCAGAACCTCTGGTGCTCTGTCAGTGAACAATCTGGAATTTTAAAAATCAGATTCCTTTACTAGTACAGAACTTTCTCATTTTGTTCACAATCTGTAGATAGTGTAAAAGTTTCTTATTTCTCCCCAGGTATCCCATCTAGTAGTACATTATCACAGTACAGATAGTTAGAGGGGACTTGGATATGTTTTCATTTTTATAAATAATCTTATCAGGCAATCACTAGAATGGACCCTGAAGGTGATGTCAATGTTGAGAATATACATTTTCGTCATTTCCCATTTGCTGTACCTGGAGGAAATAGTGACTTTCAAGTGGAAAGATATTGATGTGTTATCATCATACAAAGGTAGTAATATTACCCCTACTTTTTTCCTTCTCTTTTCAAGCACACTGATTTATGTCAGTACATGGACAAACATCCTGGAGGACTTCATCCAGAAAATGTGAAGGTAGGAAATTATTTTCAAATATTCTTTTAGATGGTAGGTTTGTGTTAAAGTAAAGAAGTAGATTGCTCCTATGAATGAAGGAAGTGGCTGAAAGTAATATGTAAACTGGCTCTTGAGCCAACTAGATGACTGCTGAATGATAGAAAACTGTTTTTATTTTTCAATAACCTATCTTTAAACAATGCCATTTTTACTTGTCAGTTGGATCTTATCAACTGCAACTATAGTTAGCTTTTTAATTATTTGGATATGAACAGGAGACACGATCTGGCTATCTGGGAAATCAGCCAGACTATTTTAGCATAAATCATAAACCAATCAGTCATGCAACATTTTGTGACTTGGGGACCACCTAGGTAACATTTGTTCAGGGTCTTTTACTCTGATGCCTCCATTGCTGGAAAAGTATTTCAGATCTCACCCAATAAACAGATTTTTTTTAAATGTGAGATTGCCATTTATTTATTTTAACATTTGAAGATCTTGCATTTCAGTTCTTTAAAAAAGGTAACAGGAAAACCTCACAGACCTCCACACACTGGTCCAGAGAAGCTTTTGAAACAAGAAGTCAGGTGTTTGTTTCATAAGCAACCCGCAGGTTCCATACCAGATCTGGGAAATAACCTGTTCTTTTCTTGGTTTACCAGAGCTACAGTAACCTCAATGCCCTTTCCCCCAGTTTTAAGGTTCTGGGCAGAGTCTTTTCTATTTTGGAAGTACTTTTTTCAGGATTATGGGATGTGGTCGTGTTTTTCTGCATACCTTTGGGGCTCTGAATTATGCAAAAATCACCCACTTTTACATCAGGCTTCTATAGTAATTAGTACTGTTAAAGGGAACTGTAACACTTCAGTTTAATATATGGATCTGTGACGATATTTCTTAGGTAGTCAAATAAGTGTGAGCATGTGCAAAAGTTGCTGATAGAATTGTTTTAACTAGTATTCATCTACTGTGCTCCCTGAGTGCTATATTACAATAGCCAAAGAGTCTACTCTGATTTGTATTTCTGAAAACATTATATAGATAACTAATACTGATAATAATAGTTGTATTTACATATTCTTGAAATCATACTTTGAGAAGACATGCCTTGAATGTCTGACAATTTGGAATCAGTCCTAGAGATGCTTCCCCATGGATAATATTCTGCTTTCTATAGTACAATTAATACCACATGCGGTCTGAATGTGTGTACAGCCTACTTTTCTTCCATGTGTGGCATACAGAGGGGAGGCATTTGTGTGGTTGTATGCAGGGGTCATTTCGTAGAAAAAGAGGTGCAGGAGTTCATTAGCATGACTCATTAGCATAACTCATTTGCATATGTCACACACCCCTGACATCACCAGAAGTGTGTCAGAAGGCAATACCCACTGCTCAGGCTCCACTGGACTGTTTTGGATTGCTAGCTATTGAGGGGGGGGACGAACATGCAAATCTGTCCTCGCAGAGGAGGGAGAGCTTGTACCTGAATAAAACCTGGTCTTAAAGGATCCACTAGACTCTTTTGGACTGGGGGGCTGGGGGGAGCTCTGCAACTTACCTGGCTGCTTCTTGCTCTGACTGAGGGCTTCTGGGAGCAGGGGGCGGGGCTTGTTGCATGTGCCCACCCCCTGGGCTCTTTACTGCCAGAGCTCCGCTCCTGTGCGCTCCTGCAGGAAATGACCCCTGGCTGTATGTGACCCGGAGTCGCATCCTGTCTTTGCAGCAGCACCCTTTCCTTTGCTATGATCTAAGTCTTAGAGCATACTAGCAACATTTACTCATTGATGTACAGTACACGCTTTGTTATCTGATGCTTTAATATCTGGAAAACTCAGTTTACTGGAATCTGGGTTAAACAGGTTGGCCTGCAGGGTTGATGAGTAGGGGAGAAACAGCAAGCTGTTGCTGTACCTGGAAGAGCAAAGCTGGGCAGGACACCTGGGACATAACAGGGGCATGATTAGAGGCAGGAGAAGCAAGCCAGAGAGCTGCTAGAAGAGCATAACAATGTGGGAGGCACTTGAGATGGGGGGTGCAGGAGGTTGCTGGGAGGAAGCCACAAAACAAACAGACATGGTGTAAAGCTTGAACAATCAGCATACTTGATTAATTGGCAAACCCCATTCTAGTCTGGATAATAAAGCTTGCATTGTACTTGGATTCCATTTTACACAGTGGGAAATGAAAAAGGTCGTATAGCAGCCTGCTACGAAAATGAGAATATAAGAACCTAGGAATTGTCTTGCTGGGTCAGACCAAAGGTCTGTTTAATTCAGCACTCCTGCTGAGGATCCAGCAAGGTACTTTAGGCATGCCCATTTTGCTTCTGTTTTTACTTTGAATTTCAGCCCTTCATGCTGTATTGCAATCTACTTTGGAAACTTCCCTTTCTTCCAAAGGCAATATGCTTTGTGTATATGTGGGGGCAGGGTACACTTCAGCAAGTGCAAAGCCTTGTCCTTGCAGAAAAGACTGCATTTCTAGCAATGATTAGTTTAGAGGCCTGGGAAAAGAATAAACAGGATAAAGAAATTAAAGTACAATCCCTATTAACAGGCTTAGTTATTTCTGTATTTACATACGAAACATTAAAAAGTTGTGAGTGCTTATGATTCATTTTAGCAGTAGACTTTTATATCTAACTTAGATTTTCTGAAAATGTTGGTATACTTTAAAAAAATAAATGTAAACAATGTTTTTTTTTTAATTTACATGTGATTTCTATACCGCTCGTAACCCCTAATGGGTCTCAGAGCGGTTTACATAGGACTACATCTGTAGTCAAACCTACCTAGGGCCACAATTTGTGTGTGTGGGGGGGGTTACCTAACAGCACCCCAGCGGCGGAATCCTTCCTCTTTTTTTTTTTCTCTGACGGCTCCAGGCGCAGTCTTGATGCTCTGAGCAGCCGGCGACTGTCGGCGGGCTTTTTCCTGGTAGTCCTCCGTTGACGCGCACTGCTACAGGCTGCGGCTGCCGGCGATATGTCCCATCAGGCTCCAGCCGCGCCGCGCCTCGTAGTTGCGTCGTCCTGACTCCGCCTCCTTTTTCTGACTGGTCGTCGCCTCTACAGTCCACCAGACGCCACCATGTTCTTCCAAGCCGCTTCTTCTCGCCTCTCGCTGCCATCTCTCTCACTTCTTGCTGCCCGTACGCCTCTCGCAGCCGCTTCTTGCTATCGCCGCCGCCGCCATCAACACCTCCTGGCACGGAACCAGGAGGGGGGTGCCCCCTGCCTCTAAGACAGGTACCCATTTCTCTACTTGGTGTTAATTTCGAGCCGCTGGGTTGGCGGGAGCTGGGACTAGGGGCCAGAAGCTCACTCCGGCCACGGTGGGGATTCGAACAGCCATTATGGCTGTTCGCTATAGTTGTTAAAGCAGGCGTTGAATTGCCTGCGCCACCGCGTTGAATTGCCTGTGGAGTTCATTTTGCATCAATATTTTGTAGTATTTGCATTTGAGTACATGGAAACAAAGACATCCTTTATTAGTAGCTTAGTTTCTCAGGGATGCCTCCATTCTAATTAAGAATCCATTTTTATTTCTCATTTTCCATCAGAAAGTAGTAGATTCCCCTATGATTTTCTTGGAGAAAAATATTTGCAGGTGAAATTTTTGACATAGTGCCTTTCATCACAGTTCTATGAAGGCCATATACTGTAATAATTGCTATGATTCTGACAGTTTAAAAACTTTATTATACCTTGTGTACAAATTTTTGAGCTGCGGTGGCTCAAGTGGCTAAAACACTGAACTGTAGGCTGTGGAAGGTCGGTAGTTCAGCAGTTCAAGACCCGAGTGTGCCGCATGACGGGGTGAGCTCCTGTCTCTAGTTCCAGCTCCTGCCACTCTAGCAGTTCGAAAGCAAGAAATTGCAAGTAGATAAATAGGTACCACTTCGGTGGGAAGGTAACAGCGTTCCATGCACCTTGGTGTTTAGTCATGCTGGCCACATGACCACGGAAATGTCTTCGGACAGCACTGGCTCTTTGGCTTTGAAACGGAGATGAGCACCGCAACCCTAGAGTCGGATTCGACTGGCTTTCAAGCAAGGAAACCTTTACCTTTACAAATTTAATATTACTCAAAATAATTGGTACATTTAAAGACATTTTAGCTTTGAAAATATATAGAGTCTGCGATCAGACGAGCTGTTTGATCCAGTGTTGTTGCTGTTCCCTTCCGAATTTAAACATCTGTCTCCTGCTCCCCAGTCGTTAGCACCCTGCTCTCACCAGTCTTCGAATCGGAGTTATTTGATACTGGGGCAAGTCCGGTCCTTCTCACCCTGCATCTGCGGAATCAATCCATCGCGTTCCCTTCTGGTTTGGGGTTTGTTTTTTGTTTTTTTGAGGCAGTTATCTAGGTGCCCTTGAGACTGATCCAGAAATTCCAACTGATCCAGAATGTGGCAGTACAAGTCCTGACAGGAATGTCACAGACAGCACATATTCAACCTGTGCTGCACCAACTACACTGACTCCCAGTGGTGTACGAACTCAGGTACAAGGTTTTGGTACTGACCTTTAAGGCCATGAGCGATCAGGGATCCATGTATCTTCGGGACCGTTACCCCGACATGTCCCCTGAAGAGTGTTATGCTCTGTTGAGAATAATCTGCTGGTGATCCCTGGCCCCAAAGATATCCAGCTGTCTTTGACTACAGCCGGGGCTTTCTCCAACCTGGTGGAGCTCTCTGCCAGATAACATCAGAGCCCTGCAGGGTTTAATGCAGTTCTACAGGGCCTGTAAGGCAGAGATTGTCCACCAGGCTTTTGGTTGAGGACAGCGACGGGCTCTATCATGGCTGGCATCCCCTCCTTTATTCCATCTTTTTTCTTTCGGCCTCCTCCCAGTACTGCCTGCGAGGTGGCAACATACTCCAACTGGCTTAAAATTCAACTCATGAATGCCATCTGGGAATTAAGATTGTACTGAATGTTCATATCGTATTTTATTTATGTTTGTACATCGCCCAGAGCCCTGTGAATTCAGGGATTGGGTGATTGA